GCCCGGCACAGCTGGGTGGTTTGAAGGGTCCATTTTATTGTCTCACTTCTCCACATGTACAAAAAAATTAGAAAATAACCCATCTCCCCCCTCCCCGCCCCCACCGCCCAGGCCTGGGGCAGCAAATCAAACAAGTAGGTACAGCAGTTGGGTCCCTCCAGCCCACGGGGCACTGGGCACGGTTTCTCCACGGCCCCCACCCTCTCCTCCACCACCAGGGAATTGAGCAGCCAGACACTTCACAGGTCCTCTTGGGCCTTCTTCCTTTTCTTGGGCTTTTCCTCCTCCTGCAGCACGGGGGGGCTGGTGGCCTCCCGCTTCAAGTAGCTAACGAAGTCGCTCACCTCCCGGCCCCCCTGCAAACAGCACAAGAGCTTGGACCTGCCCCATGGCCTCCAGAGGCACTGCCCCTGCCCCCGCTCTGAGCTGCACAACCACCCCCTGCCCAGCCCCCAGCCCCGCAAGCAGCCACTCACCTCATACTTCTTTGGATTCTGCTTGTTACCAGCTGGCGCAAAGTAGATGGTGGGGAAGCTGGGGAGAGAAGACAGCTCTCAGCGCTGTGCTCAGCCTTCCAGCCCCACACAGGGTCCTCCCACGGCCAATCACCGCCTGAAGGAGGGGCCAGAACAGCAGCAGGGCATGGCCCAGCAGACAGCCAGGGGCCCAAGGACAGGTTCTGCAGGGCTCAGACCAAAGGCCCATCGGGCCCTTTCCTGCTGCCCACGCCCAGCTTCTGGCAAGCGGAGGCTGCACGGGAAGCTGCGCTACAGGAGCAGGGGCAGACTCTTTCAGTGGAGTTGTGCCAAGTCCGAATGCTGCTCTGGAGCAAGGCACGGCTCCAGCCACTACGACCACTGAGCCCCGAGCCGGCCTCACCCGTCTCCCGCAGTGACCGGTGCAGACTGCCCCTGCCGGCGCACTTACCCTCGCACTTCGTACGGAGACGGCACATCATTGGCTGTGGCGTCCATCTTGGCTATGACAATGTTGGGGTCTTTGCTGAGCTGTGGGCAGGAGCGAGCCGATCACCACTAGGCCGAGAGGGGCTCTTGGCCAGAGGCGCTATGGTAATACTAGCAGTCCAAGCACTGGCCTGAGGCCCTGGCAGGACAAGGTCAGGCTGCTCTGGGCAGTAAGGAGGGTGCAAGCTACGGCCAGAGATACACAGGCAGGATTTACTTTCAGGCCCTCAGGCACCCTGGCTGACTGGTAACAGCCGTGTCTCCTCTGGGAGGCCATCCTTCCAGGGTACCCCTTCCTCCCGGCCTGCCAAGGCTTCCTGGGGGAGCAGTGCGAGGAACACTGTACCAGGCTCTGAGCCTCGCTGCAGCCTAATGAACAGGGTGTTACCACAAACCAGAGCCATTCCAGTGAGTGTAGACAGCTGGGTGCACTTCTCCCCCGGGACTGGGAGAACGGGGGCTATGGGCGACAAAGGACGACAAAGGACGACAAAGGACGGAAGTGACTGGTCACTCGACTAGCCGCCCACCTCCCTTGCTGCCGCAGAGGCAGGAGGAAAGCGGAGCCAGTGCCAGGGGGAGCTGGCTTAACTGGTTCCCCCCAGCACCATCTCCACAGGGGGCAGGAGAAGCCTGCAATCAGCTGTCCGGCCTCTCACAGGGTCCCCCCTGCCGCGCCTCTGCCTTTGAAGTGTGCAAGAGCCTGCCAGCTCTCAATACATTTAAAAGGCAGGGCCCAGCCCAGGAGCTAACCCCACTGTGGCTCCCCCGCTTATCGACGACTCGATGGAAAATCCAGCCACTAGTCGATGAATTTAACACCCCGGGACGGGCAGGCATCTGTCTAGGAGGGACTGGGAAGAGGGCAGGGACCTGCCCCCACTCTG